TCAGAGGTAGGTTCTTTACTCAGAGAGTAGTAAGGGCGTGGAATGCCTTGCCTGCAAAAATAGTTGACTCGCCAACTTTAAGGGCATTTAAATGGTCATTGGATAAACATATGGATGATAATAGAATAGTGTAGGTTAGATGGGCTTCAGATTGGTTTCACAGGTCGGTGCAACATCAAGGGCCGAAGGGCCTGTACTGCGCTGTAATGTTCTGTGTTCTATGTTCTATGTTCTTTTTGGAGATAAGAAGCTAGAAGGAGATCTGATTAAAGTTTTGAAAATCATGAGCTGTCTGAGTAGAACACATAGGGAGAAACTATTCCCACTCAAAAAACAATTGAGATGGAAGAGAGCACAGATTTGAAGTAATTTGCAAATGCAGAAGCAGTGATGTGAGAATTCTATTTTTTTCCCCTACAACAAATTCCACACCATGGATGTGTACTGGAGGCATTCAAGAAGGCATTGGATGATTGATTCTATTCAAATAATGTTCAGGGTAACGAGGAAAAGATTATAAGACCAGAAAAAATAGAAACAGGAGTAGACCATTCGACCATCACGCCTGCTCTGCCATTCGATAGGAACATGGCTAATCGACATTCCTCATGTCTACTTTCCTACCTTTTTCACTTGAATCTCCTACTGCCAGAAGAGTGGCACTAAGTCCTAATGCTCATTTGGAGAGCTAGTGCAGACATGTCTGCTGATGGGCTCTTTCTACACTGTAACATTTGTGATATTCACATATGTGCACAGTAAACCTGATTTTATTTCCATACAACTTATAACTTATCTATGGAACCACGGATTTTCTTGATCTATGGAGCTTAGTCACAAATGTTATATATAGACCAACTGAACTATCACAAGCCTGACTTTGAATTTTGTAGCTTAACTCTTGTTGGATATTTTTTCTCTTTAAAATGCTTAAATAATTCTGTAACATCTATGTTCAGATATTGTAATGTATAAAGACTGATGTTTTCACAAATCAAACATTTTCTCTTCCATAGGAATTTTACCATTGTGAAAAAGATGCTAAATTAGTAACCTAAGCAAGGGTTAGAATACCGTTGTAATCAAAATATATTAAGTTTTCTTTTTCTGGAAAAGTATGCTGGAATATTTGACATTTACAACCAATTACTTTTTGGTCAGAGTCAATTTGTTGCTAAAATGAGTTATTTATCATGTTCTTTCAGCCGTAATTCCAACATTCTTTGGAAATTACTCAGTTGTTTTTACTCCATGTATACTGGCCCAATATGAATAAGCAGCAGTATTCCAGTAAATATACTCGCTTAGGCTCAAAAATCCCATCCTGAAAGAATTTTTTGTGTAGCAGTTGAATACAACATACATTCTATGTCACATTTAAAATTTATGTTGCTATTAATAAATGTAAATTTCCACATTTTAAGAGTTGTGTAATGTAGAATTCTACCCTTTTAAGATTGTGATTCATTCATGATTCCAAGACTTTGGCAAAATTATTTGGTGAAAGGTCATTCTCCCGTGGTGACGTGAGACAAGACAAAGTGCAGTCTTCAGCTTAAGTGGAATTTGGAACGGTGGATAATTTAATCAGTATTCAGCAGAATTACAGTCACCGGAGATTTGTAGCAGTCAGAGGTGGAAGATAAAGCTGAATGTAGAGTTGTGGGAGTTGGGGAAGGGTGGTGTTATGGACCAGACCAAACCCCCTTAAAATATATTAGGGAGATAGCCTAGACTCTTAACGGTTTCTTAATTTAAAGGCAAATGCCAGGCGTTGCATTCAGATGCAATTCGATTGCTCAGACTTCCAAATTTGAAGCAAGAAACACTTTATTTGTACATTATAGTTAAAATATAACAAAAGAAAGAAGAAATTGGATTAAGTTAACTCTGTTGGAAAACTTAACAGAATAATAACTTATTTAACTACTAAACAGCAATTGTTCCAATCTAATAATACCCCATTGACATCCTTTTGACAGAGACAGGTTCAGAAAAATAGATTGTCTCACAGGCAATTCTCCAGTACAGGAGGGAAAACATCAAGAGAAAACTCTGAGCGAGAGTAAAGCAAGGGAAGATGTACTGCAGCTTCCATCCAGCTCCAAGACCCAGCAACTGCTGTTGAAAACGAAACTAAAAATCCTGGTTCTGAGCTTGCCCCTCCAATTCAGACTGCTTCTATTGTTCCAACTTTTTTAAAAAAAAACAAGGCCTCTCAAATTGTTTATGGGCTATCAGTAGACAGTTCAGAACCTCTGACTTAAAATATCTCTTCAAAAAAAAACCAAGATAATCTCTTAAAGCTATTGTATCATCACAGTGGGGTGGAGAAAGATTATTTTAACATCTTGCTTGAAAAATAACAGCTGAATATAAAGTTCCGTTAGTACAGGTGAGATCATCTACTCCAGTCCCTTATGAACAGCTTGTATCAAAGATAGTCCGATTTAGAGAAAAGAATGTTATTATTGAGAGAGGCTACCTTGAGGGCAAGATGATATGATTGAGTGGATATTTAAAAGATCAGAAACAGAATGGGGGCAAGGATGAATTCTTAAAGAACACCAGTGATAACATTGCAGCAGTTCTAACTTTACTGAGGAGTATTTTTCTTGCTAGTAGTATGAAACTATTGCAGGCTTTCTGGCTACAACTGGATGGATAATAATGGAACCAGGTGAGTCCCGTCTCACACAGCTGGATTACAGTGGCGTGGCATTGGAAGAAGATGGAAGGTTAACTATATCAAAGGCTATAGACAAACTGGAAATGACAAGGCAGGACAATTTACCTTTGTCATAGTAAGATGGTATTTGTGATCTTGGAAACTGTCATTTCTGTACTGTGACATGGAGGAAACCTGATTAGAGGAATTGAGCTCCATAAAAGTTGGGTGCGAATTGGGCAAAGTCAGAACTTTTATTTTATTAGTTATTCATACCTTGTCAGTATATTTAGTTCTTCATATTATTGCTGTGCTATTAGTATGCTTATTGATTGCTACTTTTCAAGAGTAGTGGTCCACCAATCACGTTCAAGTTCCCTCCTGGCCACAGTTGAAGTACTGGAGAATTACTAATATGTTTCTATTATTTAAAAAAAATGGAGCAACGGATTGACCAAGAAATTATAGGTTAATCAGTCTAACCTCAGTGGTGGGGACTTTATTAAAAATAATTTGAGGAACAGAATATATCTGCGTTTGGAGAAAAAGGTTAATTAGAGATAGTTAGCATTGATTTGTTAAAGGAAAATCATGTCTGAGAAATGTGATCAAATGTTTGAGCAAGTGACCAGATAAGTTGATGAAGATTATGTGGTTTGCTTTGATTTTAGCATGTCTTTTGATAAGGTCCCTCATGACAGACTGGTCATGAAAGTAAGACCCTGTGGGATCCAAGGTAAGGTGACATATTGGATCCAAAATTGGCTGAGAGGCAGGAAGCAGAGAGGTATGGTAGGGGGATGTTTCTGTGACTGGAAATCAGTTTCCAGCGGGATTCTGCAGTGCTCAGTGCTGGGACCTTTGCCGTTTGTGGTGACTATTAACGCTTTGGACTTAAATTAAGAGGCATAATCAAGAAGTTTCCAGCATGAAAATTGGTAGGGTGGTAAATACTGAGGAGCATTGTTGTTAACTGCAGGAAGATATTGGCAGACCAGTCAGCTGGGTGGAGCAGTAGCCAATGGAATTCAACTTGAAAAAAGGTGAGGTAATGCATTTGGGGAGGACTAAAAAGGCAAGGGATTACACTACGAATGGTAGGATCCTGAAAAGTATTGAAGATCAGAGGGATCTTAATGTGCATATCTGCAGATCCTTGAAGATAGAAGGGCAACTAGATAAGGTGGTTAGAAGGCATATGGGATACTTGCCTTTATCAGCCGAGGCATAGAATACAGGAGCAAGGTAGTTATGCTGGAACTGTATAAAATGTTGGTTGGCCATGATTGGATACTATGTGCAGTCTGGTCACTATATTGTAGGAAGGATGTGTCTATACAAGAGAGGATGCAGAGAAAATTTACCAAAATGCTGCCTGGGCTGGAGGTTGTAAACTACGAGAAAAGATTGGAAAGGCTGTGTTTGTTTTCCTTGGAGCAGTGAAGGTTGAGAGTGTGCATGATGAAAGTATATAAGATTATGAGAGAAATGGGATGGGATAGGAAGGCACTTTTTCCATGAGTAAGGGGACCAATACCAGGGGCCTGAGATTGAAGAGAAGAGGTAGAAGGTTAAGAGGAGAGTTGAGGAGAAATGTTTTCACTGAGGGCTGGGAATCTGGAGCTCATAGGTTGAATGGTTGAATCAGAAGCTCTAACATTTAAGCAATATTTAGATGTTTCCTTGAGTTGCTGTAGTCTCCAGAGCTGTGGACAAAAGCTGGAAAATGGGATTCGTGTAGTCAGATTTTGTTGACTGATGTAAGCATGATAAGTCAAATGTTTCTTATGTTTCAATCTGAATATGTCTGAGCCTAAGAGTGACTATGCTTCAAACACATATCATTGATTGGAAAGAAGATTAAGATTTCCTGTTATAATGAAAAGTCTATGTAAATAAAAGCTCCTTAACATACTGTTAAACTTCTTTGATATGTTTTTCAGGTTATGGTATGGAAGACTAATTTTGATGCTGCAGATTATGGGGAAATGTTGAAAAATCAATCCCAACCAATGACTGTTAATTGTATGCTGAAGAATTGTGACGGTCCTTCTTGGTTACCAGAGCATACTACGAAGTCACTTCCTGTGGAAGTAGGTTTGATTTATGTAACTATTCCATTTATGGTACTTTATACCTTCTTCACAAAACACAATGTAAATACATTTCAAGTTTTTAAAAACTTGAATATTGAGAGGCTTGCTTTTTTATTCTTTTGAGCTAAACAGGTATTCGTTTTACACGCAAACACGGACCTGGAAATGTACTGACATGAAACATAGAAACATAGAAAATAGAACAGGAGTCATCTGTTCAGCCCCTCGAGCCAGCACTGCCATTCAGAATGAATGGTTGATCATCCAACTCAGTACCCTGTTCCCACTTTTTCTCTATACCCTTTTACCCTTTAGTTCTAAGAATGATGTCAAACTCCTTCTTGAAAACATTAAATGTTTTGGCCTGAATTGCTTTCTGTGGCAAGGAATTCCACAGGGAAAGAGTGATCAATGCACAAATGGTAATGAATACTCCACTGCAGTTCTTCCAGTGAAACTTTTTTTTGTTGTTGTTGGGTTTAGTGAGGTACAAGGCTGACTAGCTGTCACCAGCTTGTAATCTGGCAGCACTTCTGAAGTAAATTTGCTCGATGTACTAATTCCAGCTACAAAGAAATTTGGTGAAAATCCAACAAGTTTACTTTGGGGTTGCCATGGCTGTATGTTAGGAATTGCAAGATTAGTACTTCACTGCAGTGCAATATGAAAGCTCCTGAAAGTCAAGCTACTACTATTTTTAAACCGTTTTTCCCAATGTGGCATCTTGCAATATTGCATCACCATTATTCATGTTAAGGAGGAGAAAAGGAAGAAACATCCTTTTGTGGCTGAAATCGTATGTGATTTTGGATGTTTGAGGCCAACAATTCCAGCCTAGAACATTACTGCAGGAATTCCCAACGATGTCCCTGTGATCTTCAGCTGCTTCATCAATAACCATCCCTCCATTTAAACATGAGGTATTCGGCAATTTAGTTACAGTTTTAAGATGTTTCTCTCCATGGATGCTGCCCAATTTACTGAGTCTTTTCTAACATTTTTGTTTGAATTTCAGATTACTAGCATGTGTAATATTTTCTTTTTGTGTACATGTCACATTTCTTTGTATTTCCCTGTTTGAAAGAAACTGGTTTAAATGTTTTCATCTCTGCATCATTACTGTTCTACACCTTAGCGCTTTCAGTACTTAAGATTCCTATCGAGTATGGATGTTCCACATAGTGTATCTTATTTATTACAAATTGTATATAGTTTTGTCTTCTTTGTAGGTGGCCATTCACTCAAGTTGAATAATTAATAAGTTTGGATGAGTAAATAACATCAGGTATGTTTTTATAAGACGCAACTTAATAGTCTGCAAACTTTTGGGAAACTTGGTATGAGTGGGACTTCCGGTTTACTGAAACTATAAGATCTAGGGGGATATTTTATCATGTGTAAGAAGTTGGGTAGTTAAATGAGCTAAAATTTCACTTGCCTTGGGACACTGGCACTAGCCCACTAACTAATGGGTTTTACTGAGGTGAGACAAGTGACAAGCAGCCAACCTGCTCCCAGAAAGCTGCTTGGCATTTTAGATATAATAATAAGGTTTGAAGCCTTCAATTAACCCCATTCCCCAGGTTTAACTGTGGCAGCGGGGGAAGCGATGGCCTAGTGGTATTATCGCTGGACTGTTAATCCAGAGACCCAGATAGTGCTCTGGGAACCTGGGTTTGAATCCCACCACAGCAGATGGTGGAATTTGAATTCAATTTTTAAAAAACTTCTGGAATTAAGAGTCTCATGATGACCACGAATCCATTGTCGTTTGTCGGAAAAACCCATCTGGTTCACTAATGTCCTTTAGGGAAGGAAACTGCCATTCTTACCTGGTCTGGCCTACATGTGACTCCGGACCGACAGCAATGTGGTTGACGCTTAGCTGCCCTCCGGGCAATTAGGGATGGGCAATAAATGTTACCTCGCCAGTGATGCCCTCATCCCATGAATGAATCAAAAAAAATGCTGGGTTTCTCAGGCTTCAGAACTTTCCTTGTAAGCCATGAGGAATGAGAAGGCTGTGTTGCAGCCTCTAAGTGCTCCTATGACCCCTACCTTACTTCAGCATGGTCCCACCATCTAGGATTAGTGTTTCTTGGTCACACAGTCTCCGAGCCTGCCAATCAGCCTGACTTCCAGGCAAAAGACGTACTTTATGGAGATAAACCCCACTGCAATTACTCAGTACAGTAGATGTGTTTCATTTTTAGATTGTTGAATGCAATAAATTGAATTAAGCGCACAGTGGCAAATAAGAATGTGGCCCAGAAATTTCTCACTTTATGATTCCATCTTATCTTGCTTTGAAACCCTACATTTTGTACAATGATGTTTTGTGCATTTTAATCGCCGTTAAACATCACCTGGTGTGGTTTAGGAGTCCCAATCAGACCTGTAGCCTCTCCTGCAAATGAAGGTATTGAGCTGGCAGAATACAGGATTTGCTGGCCTCAGTTTTTTATTTGCTTTCTTCTCATTCAATGAGCTTTTCATTTCTGCTTGCCTCTTCCAGTGACTATCCAAACACACAGTTTCCAGAGGTGACAACCATCAGTGACTGTCACCCAGGTGGGTCATGAACCTGGGCCTCGTGCTCTAGAGAAAGGGGCAATGCCACTGCATGACGACCCAATCCTCCTTTCTATGCTGTGTGTAAGATCCTTTCTAATTGTCAGTAATAGAGAATAGACCATTGGAAATCTAAGACACAACAAGACATAATTTGTTGCATGATGTCTTATAGGTGCAATTATTATTAATTAGTTAGGTATTATTACAATTTTCAGGAGCCACGAACATCACATCCATCTCCATTGAGACATTACGCAAGGCCACTGTTTCCTCCCAAAGACCTTGGACAGCAATAGGTTGCATGGAACTAATGCAATTTTACCTGTTTTAGAATCATTATCTTATACAAGAAACGTCAGTGCTAGAACACTTTAACTCCACTGCAAATTTCATAGGGATCCTTTGTTACCATGTAATAGCTAATCTTGCCATTTGTATAAGGAAAGAGAAGATCAGCCTGAGCAACTTGGGTGGGTTGCCAGTTATCTTCTTCAGCTTAAATAAACTGGCACTATTCATATGATTGAATATCTTGCTGAGATCAATGAAGACACAACATAGTGATTTGCCATGTTCATGGCATTCCTTGTGCCATATCACAATGTTGAGGTCATGACGATTGTCCAGCCTTCAATTCAGGAACCAGTTTGGGATTTGAAATCGGTGTGTTTAGCTAAAGTCTGCTGTTTGACAAGGGGAACAGGGATAAGTATATTTTTGAAGAAGTTCAGCACAGAGATTCTTCAATAATTGTTGGAATCACTGTATCTGCACTTGTTCTTGTACAGGATCGCAACCTTTGCCCCCTCTCTGTAGCAGAAACAGAACTTTGTATGGATGCAGCATGTGTGCCTGTTTGCCATGCTCAATAAATTTAGATAGTATGACACCATCACCTGATGACCAACAAGTCAGTCACTTTGTTAAGCTGGTCCGCCATGGCTTTGAAATCCAGCTCTTCCATGATGGGCAGGCTCTCTGTGGTGTCCACAGATTTCCCTGTGATCATGTTCTCCCTAGAATACAACTCAAGTTAGCATTTCATCCATCTTTCCAACTGTTTATCGCAGTCAGCGACCCACTCCCCAGCCTTTGTTTCTAATGGAGTTGTTTTCTTTGTTGTTGCCTTTTTGATTGCATCATATGTACTTCAAGTAGTCCGTATGTAGAAAGACATCTGGATATTCTTGCAAAGTTGTAACCAGTAGTCTTTGGCGATATGCCTGTTGGACTTTAGTTTGAGCATCTCTTAGTGCATTCAGTATATTCTTGCCCAGAACTCCACTGTAGTTAAAGAGGATGGATCACTTGACTTCAATGACAAGTTCTATCATAGCAATGTTCATGTTATCGCAGTCAGTGTTTTTCCAATTTTGCTTCCCATGAGAGTGCAGAGTTGTAAATGGTATCTCAAAGCTTTTTCTTGTGCACTCGGTGTGGGAGTACTGGAGAGAATCTGTTCAATTTCATTGAACTGAGGAACTGTTGGTTCTTATCTGGGTAGGTGGTATGACTTGGAAGGCATTTCTGTTTTGAAGGATGCAAACTTTAAAGTTTTTTCATAACAGTGATGCACATCAGGGAATAGTCTGTACCACAGTAAGTGCTATGGCAGTTGCATGTGCTGAGAGTACTGTTGGGGAGTCACATCTGGTGATGATCAGGCCCAGCTGATACCAATACTGTGATTTTGAACGTCTTCAGGGCAGGGGCATTTGGCAGCTCAGTGGTAGTGATCCTACCTCTAGACTAAGAGTACCTGGTTCAAGACCCACCTGGTCTAGAGGTGTATAGTAATATCACTGAACAGATTAATTTATGGCATGATTTGTTCTAAAACAGTATTATGTGCATACAGTTTACGGTAGCAGCAAAGCTCAAGTAATCTGTCTATTTTCATTCATTTATCTTTTGCCATGATGTGTGACGCAGTACAGCTGTGAATCATGGTCTGCACCTCTTGGATTGAGATCTCCCAGTAGGTAAAGATGTTCTGTCTTAGGAACTCTTAGTCAAACACCTTGTAGAACTGCTGACGTTTCGGGCCTTTTCTAGGCCCGAAACGTCAGCCGTTCTGCTCCTAGGATGCTGCTTGGCCTGCTGTGTTCATCCAGCCCTGCACCTTGTTGTCTTGGATTCTCCAGCATCTGCAGTTCCTACTATCTCTGATCCAACCTTGTAGAACTGATTTTTTTTCTCTTGTAGTGGAGCACAGCGTTGGAGCATAACTGCTTTCGTGAGGTTAACTTGCCTTAGTTGACTCCAGACCCCATGAAATTTCATGGTTTCAGGTTAAACATGGGCAAGGAAACCTCCTGCTGATTACCACAAACCGTCTTCCCTCAGCTGATGAATCAGTCCTCCTCAATGTTGAACAACACTTAGGAAGCACCGAGGATGGCAAGGGCACTAAATGTACCCTGGGTGGGGGATTTCAATGTCCACCACCAAGAGTGGCTCGGCAGCAGTGCTACTGATCGAGCTGATCGGGTCCTAAAGGACATAGCTGCTAGACTGGGTATGCGGCAGGTGGTGAGGGAACTTGACCTCATCCTTACTAATCTGCGAGCTGCAATTGCAGCTGTCCATGACAGTATCGGTAAGAGTGACCACCACACAGTCCTTGTGTAGACGAAGTCCCGCCTTCACATTGAGAATAACTTCTACCGTGTTGTGTAGCACTATCACCGTGCTAAATGGAACAGACTTCACACAGATCTAGCAATTCAAGACTGGGCATCCATGAGGCGCTGTGGGCCATCAACAGCAGCAGAATTTTACTCCAGCACAATCTGTAACCTCATGGCTTGGCATATCCCTCACTCAACCATTACCAGCAAGCCAGGGGATCAACCCTGGTTCAGTGGGGAATGCAAGAGGGTATGCCAGGAGCAGCACCATGCATACCTGACGATGAGGTGCCAACCTGGTAAAGCCACCAAGTAGGACTACTTGGATGCCAAACAACGAAAGCAGCAAGTGGTAGACAGAGCTAATCGATTCCACAACCAACGGATCAGACATAAGCTCTACAGTCCTGCCACATCTAGTCGTGAATGGTGGTGGACAATTAAACAACTCACTGGAGGAGGAGGTTCCACAAATATCCCCATCCTCAATGATGGAGGAGCCCAGCACATCAGTGCAAAAGATAAGGCTGAAGCATTCGCAGTAATCTTAGCCAGAATTGCTGAGTGGATAATCCATCTCAGCCTCCTCCAGTAGTCCCCAGCATTACAGATACCAGTCTTCAGCTCATTCGATTCACTCCAAGTGATATCAAGAAACGGTTAGAGACACTGGATACTGCAAAGGCTACGGGCCCTGACAACATTCCGGCAATAGTACTGAA